CAATAGCCTGAATATATGAATACTTAACAACCTCAATTTTTGAGGTTCACATTTAATCCGCTATGGAGTTAGATAAATAAAGTTAGTTAAATAAAGGGTCAAAGGTTTTTTTTACTGTAAATAACAAAGAAATTGCATTATACGCATCTCATCACCTGATTGTCCATGTCAAAGAGATTTAGTGTAGATTGTGTACTGTATTTGTTCTCTGGGGCGCAGATGTAGTATCTACTATCTGTACACTACTAGAGGGGGTTCTAAGTAGAAATTAGCATCTGCAATATCCCTTTCAGGTTTAGGGGTTGATATTGGTTTGCTGGGTTAGCTCTAAGTTCTTATATGATTAGGAATTAACCTTGGTATGGTGGGATAGCTCTGAGTCCTTATTTGAATGTTCAGTGGTGAAGCCTCAGAAAACCAATCTAATATGACACATTTTGAATGTTTATTTTGAGTAAACTGTTGCTAAATTAGTTCTAGATAATTTTTTTTTTCACATTAAAAGTTTTAAGGCAGTAAATGATGTAGCAGCTGTTTGTACATCCTTGTCCCCGGAGAGTTTTTTTTTTATCAATTGTTACCTGAAGGCAAACAAGAAAAGATGTGTATTGCATAATTTTGTCTCCCAACATAAAGGGCTTCAATGTGCCATCATAAGGGTGTGTTCTCAAAATCAGTGCTTTGAATTTCCCCTTATGTGCAATCAATCCACTTCTCAGACACTAGGACATTACTTGGTCTATAGCAACCACATCAATTGTGCCATTGATACGGTAGATGATATTGTCATCTGCATCATCAATTAAACTGGCCTTTCAGTGCGAATGGTTTGAACCAATGGGTATTATTTGATCGTGTTGGCCTATCGTCCGGATGAGAGTAGTTCTTTGTGGGAGTGTTGTTTGTTGTTAGCTTTGGTGACAATTGTTTTTGTAAGTTTTCTCGTAACGTGCTCTAACAATCTAGCCATAGCCATGCGATCGTGAATTGTTTGGATTGATTTTGAATCTACTTATTTATCGTGCAAAAAGACGGCGGAAACAGAAGTGTACGCCTCTTAAAAGTAATAGACACATCCTTCCAGTTCATAGTTATACCTAATGGTGTGTTTCCTTTGGAGAAGATTTTGGTTGTGTCACGATAAAAATTAACAAGTTAACAAATAAAAATTAACAAATAAGCAATAAGCTTCATAACTTACCGTCGGTGTCGAATTCGTCTCCGCTGCACAGGAACGCGCTGTTCCAGCAAAAGCGGATGATAATATCATTACTAAGAAATGGCCATTTATTTTTTCAAGACTGGATACTTTCCAAAAGCGTCAGGTCTTTGTTTGAAAAGGTTTATTTTATTTAAAAATAATTTTAAAAATAAGACAGAAAATGGTAAAAAACAACGATAAAGAGAGATAGAGAGATGAGGGGGATTTCTTACGCATTATTAAAACGCACCGAGAGGTCATAGACTATACTGACACTCGCAAAAAGGAGTCGGAGTCTTAATCCAAGCAATTATGGATAATTTGTAGGTAGTGACTTGATAAAATGGGCTATAAAAAGGTTTCAAACATGTGGGCTGTTTTGGGGGATGGAATATTTTCAAACGATTGCCATACGGAACGGCTCCGAGTAAGTTTCCGCGAAATGCCTAACTACTTTATTTTGACTTTGTGAGAATCGACTGAATGCCATTCGAGACAGTTTCAATTTTTGTTACGCAGCAAAAAAAAAAAAAAAAAAAAAAAAAGAAAAGAAAAGAAAGCTACCATACGACTTGGAAAAAACTGCCTACAAATGATGATTAGCCTGTGTGTAGTATCGTCCCGGTTGCGGCAACAAAAATCGATCCACTCGCTACGATATCTTGCCAAATCATGTCTTACAATTATACAATGACTAACGCAGTTTTAACCATTTTTACCAAACACATTTTAGAGGTCAATTGACTGAAGCCTTTACTTTACAATGGGTATAATAATTTGTCACCTGAAGTCCTCTGCCCCTTACAGTAATAAAAGAGGAAAAAGCTTTGCTCCTTAACAATGATTTTAACGTCACTTTATCATTAAAAAAAGAAAAAAAAAATGAAAAATTTAAGGGATCTTACTGTTGCATACTTTTCAATGAAGTCTAACCCCACCCCCATAAGGACGTAAAAACTTTTGATGTATTAGTCAAACATGAACTATTTAAACAACACTCCTTTGAATACTCTTACATTTTCTAATTTGCTTTGCCACTCTACAATAGGACATTGAGTGGAACTGAAAGATCTTTTTATGTTTCCTCTCTTCCTAGAAAAATTAGTGGCAAGAGTCGTCTACTTTCTTCAAAATATATGTAGGGTTTGAGTGAGCACGAAGCTTCGATCTTGTTGGCGAATCGAGCTTCCACAAATCCTCTTTTAACGATAGCCTACCTTTGGTGCGTCCGTTAAAAGTGAAAGATAAATTTTACAAGATTGTTCAATACAGTTCAACATCCGCACAGACATTTTATATATCATGTGAAATTGAACTATTTACACAATTCTCCTTTGAATAATCGAACGTTTTCTAATTTGCTCTGCCACTCTTCACCGTTTGTTTCAATAGGACAGTGAGTGGAACTGCATGATCTTTTTATGTTTCCCCCCTTTATTTTTCCTCGCGAATCTGTTCCAACGACTGTAGTGCCTTCAGGTAGCTGGTTGACGCTTGGTTTCTCATCAAGTATTAGTAAGTCATCTTTGCTTAAATATTTGTATCGTTTTCCTTCAACGACCTCCCACTTGACGCCCCGGACAGACGCAAAACGCCCCTTACGATATGTTCCTCCCTCTTTGAAGAGCACTGCGGAGCCTGGCATGATACAACCTAAAAAGACAAGGACGCAAAACGTGAGGCAAGACAACAATATGAATATTTACTGCATCAAAACTGAGGTGATTGTCAAGCTGAACTTCGAACAGTTTCTCGTCTAAAGGATTTATTTAATACTTCATACAACCATCAATGCTGATCACTGTGATTTTAGAAGAAAAGACGTTTTAGTTTTCTACATTTCAGGCATAACACCGTTCCATTTTAATTCCTAGATGCTTATCCAAACAGAGCTTTGGAGAGAGAACTCAAAGATACAATTCATCGATGAACTAAGTGATCTAACCTCGATGTACTGCGTCACATCCATATAACGTCAGTCTTAAACAACTAGGGATTCTTCGTCTGGTGAAAAGCAGAACTTGCACAAACTGAGTAATAACCGGTTGAGGAAGTTTCAATGCTTCCACTCCTTGATTGAAATGTGGCTGTAGGTATGAAAATCTGATGTTATACTCGTGTAAGCGAATATGACTATACTATACTTGAATATCAAATTTTAATATTCCACTTTATCACTCTCCCACAGTCTAGAGCAGAAAAATACGTGAAAAAAGAGGAAATGTTGTAGACAGGTTTCTACCTTGAAAGGTTTGCCAAAGTTTACCCATTTGTTGGAAAGAAGTGCTTTTATTTGAATCTGTTGAACATTTCCTCTATCTTGTCCCAGCTGGATACTTGTCGCCGTAATAGTATTTTCCTTTGGGAGCAGTATCGCAAAAGAAATCATCCTTTTTGTGATTGAACAGTAGATATTTCTCCTTACGTGAAGTGGGCTATCAGGGTAAGAGCAGGACGCTAAAAATGCAAAATACAAAAAAATGAAAATAATAGCAATCGTCTAAAATCATACTGTATGAGCGAGAGTGAAAACAGCTTACGAGCTAAATAGTTGCACTAAAAGAGTTTCTTCTCCCTGACCTGCTTGACCGAGCGCTTGAGTTTCACGGTCATAGAGTGATCGGATATCATCAAGCTTATCGTTGTGAACTGACCTTTCGCGGTCGTAAAACATCACAAATTTGGCCGATGTTGATCCGTATTTCTTGGTACGTTCATGTGAGTAAGTACAAACACTAAGATATTTTAAGCGAGGTCTTATATGCTTAAATTAAAAAGCGAGAGAACTTTTTTTTATTGTATCAAAATATAAAAATCGATATCTCGATCGATAATAAATAGGGTGGGGGCTACAACACTCATTTTTTAGCCGAAGGCATCATGACCAAATGGACCGTGTTCCCGAAAAGTTGTACTTTTGCAATGGACACTAATGAGAAATTATGGAAGTTTACGACCATCAAGTGCTAACTTGTTACGAAATGGGGAAATTTTTTCGAGCTTATTTATGTTTCTTTTCAACATTACGAAAGCGTGTGATATTGTTCTTAGGCCTTTGGATGCTCAAATATTTAATCACAAGAGAGAGATTTACCTAAACACTTTGGAACATCTCCATCCCACGTCTTGTTCCTTTGGCAAGAAAGGGATGATTTGCCATTCAAGGTGTAGCCTTTATCACACTGGAATTCTACTATTCCTCTGAAAGCAAAGTTTTTAACGACATTTCTTTGCCTTCCATGTGTTGGTGTTCCTGGATCTCTGCACGAAATTACTAGGAAAAATGGCCATATACATAACTTATCAAAGACCAAATAACAAAACCCGTAATCATATCTACAGGGTTATTCATGTACTAATCTAAGATATTGATGAGAAACGAAATGGTTAAATAAATAAAAATCTAAGATAAACTCTCGACCTCGTCGCTTGACGAAGATTAGCCGTGTAGAAGTCGAAACGACGCGGTAAATACGATTGATAACCTGACTCCACTTTGCGAGGCGAACAATTACACGTTCATTTATCTATAGAACCGTAATGAACAACAACATCTCCCATTCCTTCCACATCTTCCTACTGGTTTGCCTTTGTAGCTTAGTAGTTAATCATAAAGACCAACCACTGTCGTTCCTATTTAATACGTCTTTTACCTTTGCACTGGGGTATCTTGTGACTCCACTTTCCATCCAAACATTGAACGGTTTTTTTCTCGACATGTTCAAAGTCACCATCACATTGAAATTTTATCAATTTCCCATGCGTAAAGTCATCTCCTATTCTTATTCCATTCCCTGGTTCACCAGGGTCTAAACATGGAGCTGAAAGATAAATTCCGTGTAAATGTAAGCATTTGGATCCGTTTGTCGTGTAATTTATTTAATAAATGAGAAAATAAGCTCAGAGAGAATACTAGGGAAAATGGATCAAATGGCTTATGTCCATACAATCTGAAAACTATTCGATTGTACTGTCGAGTTAATCAATATATAAATATCACTTATTACGTAAAAGTTTAGATGCCAAAGCTATTTTTACTTTTCAATTTCTATTTTTTCCCCTTGCGTTTGTTTTGATAATTATTTGTTGCTTGGTTTTTGTTGTTGTTGTTGTTTTGTTTAATTTAGTAGCATTTAATGATTTGTTTAGCTCCGAAGTTGGCACCAATAATAGCAACCCCCTACCCTCCTTCCTTGCGCCATTATAACACAACGACGTTCAATAGGCCATCTTACAGTTGTTTACTTAGTTGACAAGCCTTTGATTTGGAGTGAGGCTGAAGGTGACCATGTTGCGATAGAGACCAATATCTAGTTAGCAAAACTAGATATAACAAAGCAATTTACATTTGAAAAACAGCAAGGTTTGTATCATAACAAGTTCAACCTTAGCCTCACTTCTATTCAAAGGCTTGGCAGGCAATCAGGCAACTGTAAAATGGACTATTACGATTCTTTAGTGACAATTTTACTCACCAAGGCAACTTGGGGCAGATGAACTCCACTCTTTTGTTTCCCCACAGGTTATTATTTTGGATCCTTCCAAAGTGTAATTCGCCTCACAAGCGAATTCCACCGAGCTACCATAATTAAAACCATTTGTAATATTAACTTGTTTCACATTAGCTGGGGTATCTGGATTCCCACAGTTTATAACTGTAAAAAAAATTCAAATGTGAAACTCCTTCAGGAATACAAGGGCGTGTAAAATTTAGGATCACTTACTTTATCACATATATATTAAGACGATTTAATTTTCAATTTGTTTGCCACGCAAACGTTCACGTGATAATGAGATTAAATGGCCAATAACGAAATGGCACGGTCTGTGACATTTTGAATACCGCAGGCTTTCATAAAACACACATATTCATAACCAAACTAAGTTTGAACAACAGCGAGACAGGAATGCGCGAAGGATGTAGGTTGGCCTTTGCATATTGAATCATTTTCTTTTGAATATAGGTGTAATGTTAAAGTTAGTTTGTAAAAGAATAGTACTTACTTTGGCACGAAGGTTCCACTCCGCTCCACTGTTCATCGTTTTGACAAACTCGAGTCTCTGAGCCAATCAGCTCGTAGCTTTTCTCCTTACACCGATATTTCACGTAACCGCCAAATCGCGTGTGACCGGTTTCCGAAACTATTAAAACTTTATGTGGAGTTGACAACCTGCCGCAATCAATTGCTTTAAGGGACAAAAAAAATATGGAGATAATTATAAAGCAACAGCAAATAAACTTAGCTCCAATTTGTTCGCTCCTCCATCGCTTTGAGGACTGACCGTAATAAAATTTTTAAGTTGTTTAAGGGGAGGGGAGTGGGGACTGCGGTGGAGGATAACAGGTAACACGAATTTTCACGGAAGATTCGTCCCCAAAGAAATCTATGGCATGAATGTTACTTGTCGTTTGCAAGATACCTTTATTTCTGGGGAGCTCGCTGAGTCCCTAATTTGTATTTTCACGCTCTTTCCCCGTTCTTCGAGAGCTTTCCATTTGCTTAGTAAAACAGCATCTAATGAAACACTAAGTAGCATCATTTCTTACGTTTACAGGTTGGCGCACGTCCACTCCATGTTTGATTCGCCTGACATTGGCGATACTTATCTCCAACCAACTTGAAGCCGGGGTTACATTCAAAATAAACCTTACTACGGAACGTAAAAACGTGTGATTTCATGTTGCCATGGAGAGGGATTTGTGGCCTGCCACAACTTTTAGCTGTGAACACAAAGGAAATAAAACTACCATTAATCGATCAAAAAAGCACAATATTTACCACTGAGAAAGATACGATAAATAGCTCAGTTTTAGCCCTTTTCAGTAAAACTTATCCATCGACTTAATGTTTTGCCTGAAATATTGACGTAACAACGGTGTCTACCATCACGACTAAAGTGAAGAGAGCCTTAGCAGCCTGTGTGTATGAGGCGTGGGCGAGGTTCATTGGCTTCGAAACATCCTCTGACGGATAATAGCCGGTTCCATTTTCTTTATCATTGCACAGGCCCTCTATCAGAGAGTGGAGCTAAAAACTAGGGCGCTTCGTATTCTGTTGCACATCGCGAGAGCGTGAATGCAAGTTTTTCATAGGCAGGCTTCAAGGACTTGTTAAAACTACTAATCAAAATTTTTAACCATCAAGCTATTATGTTACGCAAGACATGTTTGGATAAAATTTCAGCAAGATAAAATACTCTGGTCCGCCGCTAGTCCAGTTGGCACACGCGAAAGCAGAACTAAACAATTTTTTCCTGGTCCATCTGACCCGTTTTCGTCGGTGGGAGACGAAGAGCTCGAGCGCCGCTGTTATTCACATTTCTTCGACTCGTACCATGGTTGCCATCACTTGAGAAATACTCCTTCCATCGCAGGTATTGAAGCTACCGCACGAGGTGTTTTTTGTTTCTCTTAAGAGCGTGATGGGTTTTTGATTGATGTATGTGGTAATCAGTGGTGGTGGTAAAACGATGTAACTTTGATGCGACTGCCGCCAAAATTTGAAAATTTTTTTTTCGAATTTTGGATTCGCGAAAAATTGGAATGCATTTGAATTTGTACCGCTAGCGCGTCCCGGCTCTTACTTAAATAAGAAGAGGAGCACAATGGAAGACCACCAAAAAGATCTCGTTTTTTTCGGATCAGAACAATTTACAATTCATGGAAAACGTTGTCGTGAGTTTACGTTCATTTTTATAAGCCACTTTCTCGGAAAATGCAACAGAACCGCGCAAGAGTGTGGCCAGAAAACTTTATCAGGACCAGCTCGCGTAAACCACACGTCAGTTTTATCATAGTTTCCCACAGGATTGCGTGAGGGAGGTGAAACAGGTCACATGATAATAGACTTTTTTAACTGGAAAAAAAACATACCGATGCACTTGAATTCTCTTTTCAGCCACGTGGTATAGTTACACTCCATAATCGGCGATCCCGTCAAAAGATGACCTTCATGACAGGCCAGATAAAGAGTTGTACCGTGTGTGTATCTCACTTGATCCGTCCTTGGATATATGATACGTGAATTACTTGGAATGGAGGGTTTTACACATGGCATAACTGGAAAAAAACAAAGAGCAATGTTCATAAACAACTATTAAGTTAAAACCTAGAACCTACATTTGTGACTGAGTAATCTAGCCAGGTATTTTATTTGCCCCCTTTCATGTACGTTAGCCATGGGTTATATTGCTTCATTGATATAAAAGATATATTAGAGCCTATTTCGGGGTTATTTTTGTTTGATATTACAATCATTTAGAATGGTGTGATAAAATACGCATAGACAGAACCAATGTAATTGTGGCAACTAAAACTCATGCTTTGATCCTAATTATCTGTTTTAAAAGAAAATGGTTAAGATTCTTCCTGTAGCCATTTTCTCATGGTAAAAATTTATGGATGAAAGATTCACTTTAAGTTATGCAACTCTATATGTGTTCCGCACTTCTTAAATAAGCTCACAGACGCTAATTTCAGATCTTGCCCTCGGTGAGGGGCGCTTATTGGAAAGAGGGCGCTTAATCGAGCGGAGCGTGTTAGTTAGCGTGACAATTGGGCAAAACATAAAAGACCAGATAACGCGAATAAAGGAACTCTGCGAACACATGGAGAAAGAAAGAACTCGAAGTGACCTAACTGAATGGAAAGTATTCTCCTGTACTGATTCCGACGTATTTCTCAGTCTTCGCAATACACATAATGACAACAAATATAAAAGAGGAAATAGAACCAAAAAAAAAAGAAGGTGGAGTTCCTGCAATTTTTTGAAAAACCCACACATATTAAAAGAATATGCTACGCACAATCTATTAGCTATGATATATTCGTAAAAATCTTCCCTGGGATGTCGTGGAATTACTAACCTTTACATTGCGGGACAGAAGAGTTCCACCTTCCATTAATGCAACGAAGACTGCGATCTCCAACCAACTCATAGCCATATTTGCAGTTAAAAGAAACCACTTGTCCATGGGAGAAGCGTGTGCCAAACACGTGACCATTTGGGAGATTCATAATCTTCGTGCAGTTAGCTGAGAAATAAACATAGAACAATGCTTTAGGAAATGAAAATCAAAGCTGTTCGGCCCTCAGATGCAAATGGCGCATCAGAAGGATAAAAAAAAGAAAGTTTAGTGCTGGAGATTTGGAATAGGCCCTTTATAAAGAGGTCAATTGGTCAGGGAAAATAAGACGGCTCACCTTTACAAGTTGGAACTTGTGAACTCCAAACGCCCTTGTTGCATGTTAATGCTGAAGCCCCAAATAGATCAAAGCCTGTAAAACAAGTGAAGTTTGCTTCTGCACCATGGCTGTTGTCATTGCCATGTAGTGTACCGTTAGCTGGACTTTGCAGACGAACACACGACGGCAACTCTGTAGGAGAAAAATATCATATTCAATTGATCTCTTAACATATTCGTGGTAAAAGATAAAAAAGGGCTAAAACGCTGCGTTGCAAGCAGTTTAAATCAGTTTTATGTCAAGTAGTTGTCAAAGTTTTGATACAAATTTTTAAAATTGCATCAAAACTTTGACAGCTAATTAACTTGCATTAAAATGCAAGTTTATTAGTTTTACGATCGTCTCGATAACTTAGTATAACTTTTACGATCGTCTCGATAACTTGATATAAGTTTCACGATCGTTCAATGACTTACTTTGACAATAGGGTAACTTTCCATTCCATTGTCCATCTATGCACTCCAACCTTGTCTTACCGATCAGCTGGAAACTGTTATTAGCACAGCGAAATTCTATGGCAGCCTTGCCAACTTGTGGGGTCACATGAGATACTTTACCATTTAAAATGTTACCCACCTCCGGACAAAACCCTAGATGAAGCAATAACATTTTTAGGTGGAGAAAATTAAAAAATGATTAAACTGTCTTCAGTTTTTGTCATAAATTGACAATGAAAAGCTATCTTGTGTTGAGCATAAAGCATTATATCTTTTCACTATTACACAGGTGGTGACAAGTGACAAAAAATGGGAACCGAACCTCTTTCATCTTCATTTTAGAACTCTCTTTGTCTCTGTAGTGATTATCTATGATATTTCTAGAGGCTTGGAATTGAAAAGTTTGACATGCAACATTTTTGCACGAATCAGCGAATGCTGTTTTGAAATGCGGAACCACTAAACAATGCCGATCTAAAGTTATAGAACATTTTTTTTTATTCTAAAGATAATTTACATCATACCAAGACATCGGAATTGTGTCTGTGTCCATTTGTTCCCATTGCATGTTATAATTGGCATTCCATCCAGATAAAAACCCTGTTTACAGCCAAAGAGGATTACTTGGCCGTTTTGGTACTTTTCTCGCCGAGTGGGATGAGTGATGACTGAGCCATGAGGAGAGGTTGGTTGATCACACGTGGAGCCTTAAAAAAAATAGACAGCTGACGTCAAGATTCCGAGACGAACGGCGAGTCAATGTCACAATATCAATCCCTTTACAACAAATGACCTGAGTTAAGAAACAAATAGTTTCCGCCTAATAATGGTAAATTATTTGCAAAGAAAGGCTAATTTAATGACCCTGAAATGTATAACGTTAAGTCCTAACATTTCTTGAACAATCTTGGAGTTTCCTGATTTGTTGGGCATGCGCTTTTCCATATGTATTATAATTCTCTTTGAATTATCTTGTAAATATTGGATGCGTAGATATCAAATGGCTCAACCGGAACAGACAGAGCTGCCCTTGAGAATCTGGCCAATGATGCTTACCCTTATGCCTATCTCATGGTCACTTATCCTTAACTTTTCATGAATATGGATAATCTTGTTTCACTTTTCGGAAAGTAGGCAGACTCTTAGAAATGGAGGCAGCGATGCAGAAAAAAATAAGCATCTCTGTCTTTTGTATGACAAAATGCTGACAGATAACACATGACACCCTCTTCCGCTTAATTCGAGAGTAACGCGTTGCTTATTTTTCGGTCTCGGCGCCAAAGAAAGCTTATTGCCCTTTGCATAAGGCAAATATCTCTTTTCCTCAGTGAGATGTGAGACACGGATCCGAAACCATGAGTGCGACATCAAAATTTATAACTGATAGCTTTGTCAACTTTTAAAGATATTTGAGTGTTGTAGTTTTCGTCAGTCACCAGATGTGAAGGTCACAAGCAAGGGAATATTCAAGAGTCTCAAGACAGAAACTAACAGTGTACAGTTCATTTCGTTAAGGAAAACCCTGAAAACCCCCTTTCCATTGGCCTACTCAAGAATAAGAATATGTAAAGGCACGTCAAACTTAAAACTAACGGCACTGCTATCAAACATCAGTTCACATTTGCCGAATGAGCGGCGTCTCCAGAAGAGTTCAGTGGCACGCGCCCTTGCTATTAAAAATTTTTACAACCTTTAGATGAAAACAAAGCTGAAAGCTGACGCATGACATCCCCTTTCGTTTTGAGAGAACAGGGTTGTTTATCTTCCAACTGGAGTGTTAAGGGAAGCTAATTGAGCATCACATGTATGAGAGGTTACTCACCATATGTGACGATCACAAACGAGAATATAAAGGATGCTGAAACCAACCCCGCACGTTTCATGAGGAAGCCCGTAAAATCTAACCTTCTTACTGAAATAGGTTGCTCAAATTGAGATAAGGATGTAGAAAGACAACCTTTTATATGCAATGTACTTCAACTTCCTTTAATACTGTAATCTAATGTAAGAATATTAATGTCAAAGGGGCAGCATCTCCAGCAGCGTTCAGTGTCACGAATCCCTACCATTTGGCTTGTATTGATTTTGACTGATTTACATTGAAAAGCAAATTAGTCTCCTACAGTGTGTAATTGGAAAACAAACAATCTATTCAGTTAAATAGCCACTTCCTGCATCTTCACCCGTAAATGATACGATACAAAGACTTCTCATGACGGACAGCTAACAAGATACCAACAAGTTAATTTAGCTTCCCAGCTTGCTTTGTAATTTGTCGTCCGATTTCATTGTTCAATTCAAACGTGATGTAGTATCTTTTAAACTTTAAATAATTGAATTATTTAATGAGTTTACAGAACAATTAAATTTCCTGATTGTGACATACCCTACGAAAATGTGTTCTTAAAATCATGCGAGGGCAATTGAGTGAGATTGGGTTAATCTTTTTCATTTCCTTATTTTGGTTGTCGCGTCATTGGAGAGCCTAAACATTGCGGAGGCTGATTTTTTTTTGACAGTTTCTACATACTCGTATGCCAATTCCATGGTTGAAGCCCTGTCACTTTCTTTTCGTGATCAAATGTCAATATTCTTGTCTTTCTTTGCAGAAATCAGGCATATAATTCGAAGTGAGAGCGACGATGCGAAAAAAGACATTTTTTGTATCGTAATTTTAAGTTTTTCGTGAAATGCTTACGGATGAAACAGGCAAGATCTTTCGCTTTGAGAGTACAGTTTTGGTTATTTTCCGGACTCTGCGCAAAAGTTTGCTCCTATCAAGCGGAAAAGATTTCTTTTCCTCTATGAGATTTTGAGAAAAGGATTCGAAGCTGTGGGTGTCTTTTTTTTCTTTTTTTTCTTATGTATCACTGATAACCTTGTTAACGTTTAATGTGATATAGGTATGTTACTGTTCGTACTCAACTGCATGTGTGACGACCACGAGCAAGATAACGTTCAACACAGACACTAACAATGCACGGTTCATTTCATTTAGGGATACCCTGAAACTACCTATTCCATTGGTTTGAACAAAAATAGGGATGTGTAAAGGCACATTACCTTTTTCTGTGTGACAAACTCATACTAATTACGCTGTAATTAACAGTACTTTCAATTTGCCGAAGGAGCAGTGTCTCCGGCAGAGTTCAGTGATACGTGCCTCTGCATGTTAAGGTAATAATTTAAGAAAAAAGAAAAGAAAGCTGAAAAATAAAGCTTGGCATATTGTTTCGTATGGGGTCTGAGTACTGCACTGTATACCTTCCAGCTTCAGCGCTCAAGGAAGTTCATTGAGTATAACATGTACGAGAGGATACTTCTCTTTAGATATGAACTTTTAAAATCGATAACTTATTACTTGCACCTTTGTCAAAACTTATTAGTTTTCGTGCTCACCGTACGTGATGATCACAAACGAGAATAGAAAAGACGCTGAAACCAACCCTCACAGATAAGGATGATGAAAGACACGTTTTTCTTTCTGTTTAAATGCAATGCCGTTTAACTTCCTTTTGCGTTTTAATTAAATAAAAGAATATGAATGTCAAAGGGGTCAGCATCTCCAGCAGCGTTATTTGTCACGAATCTCTACCGTTTGACTTTTCTTGCTTTGACTGATTTACATCGTAAGGCAACTCAGTATTGTATAGTAGGTAGTCTCGTTTGGCATGTAATTCAGTGCAAACGCCATGTCGTTCACCTCAAGTGATCGAAAAAAGAAGCGAAACAGACAAGCGGTCCAGTCAGGCAACCGTTCCTTGCATTTTCCGCACGCAAATAACATGAAACCAACTGGTCGATATAGCGTCCCGGCTCGCACTGTAATTAGCTTCTGATTTCTTTGTTAAATGTGTGAGTTACGCCGGTAATCGCAATTTCAAAACGAAAATCTCAATGCCGGTCATCTTTTGTCTTACTCTCTTTGCTCTTTTTTATCTACGGTGACAAGTATCGCTAAACTTATTAAACTTGAAGCATAGATAATCAGTTTTACCACCCAATACATAATGACTTATTTTGCATATTGTCTTCGTCTCTTGCAAGCTGAAGTAGCACCGGAAGAGACCGAAAATAAAGTTTTGAAGGCAACTCATGGTTATCACCGTACGCTGTGTTTACGATAACGAAATGTAATTTGAAGGTATTGCTTCTGCGTTTCAGACGCAAAGGAATTAAATAAGAATCACGCACGAACGTGTGAAAGGATTTTCCCTTTCAGCACACGTGTTCGGTAAAGCTGCAAACGGTAACGTTATCTTTGTTTTCTTACTTTTGAGCGTTGTTATTTCTCAGGGTATAAAGGGTAGAAAAGGAGAAGTTATCTGTCAACAAAGGGTTATTTTTTAGTGCGGAATTTGTTTCTACTTGAGCCAAATCACTGAGGCTGAAACTGTGCTGTTATTTTCTTTCCATCGAAAGATCTGTGTCTTTGGAAGTCATTCAGCCCCGGCCGTTTAACTTTTTATCAGAATTGGGCAATATGGTGTTTCAATCAGACCTACCAAGCCGCAGCACTGTCTTACTTAGTTTTACACTCAACTATGTATATTTTCAACCTCTCCTTATTTCCTTTATCATAAATAGTTTACCATCGAAACCAGCAGGAAACCATACCAGATGTAACAATTTTTATCAAAAACGACAGAGAAATGATGGCGCAACTAAGCGCAGAAAAATCTTCTCTGCTACAGGAAGAAAATAACTTCCCTGACTTCTCATGCGACGTCCTAAAATCCGACCTCAACATCCGCTACAACTGGAGCAGCTCAAATTGATAGCACGTTCGCACGTTCGGAGTGCACGCGTGCAGGCTGTTTTCCTTAGCAACTAATTATTTATGTTTTTAAAGGCAGCGCTCAGACCGAAAAATTAACTAGACAATCTTAACACGTTAGTGCACTGAGCTCTGAAACTTATCTAGAATTAAACCTACAAACATAGCAAGATGCAGTTTTTGCGATATCAGGTAAGATTTCAATTTACTCTACACTGTAACGCAAGTGAAGCTGGAAGGCCTAAATGGGAAAATTTACACGCTAGATTGACCAATGCAGTGATTGATCTTGACAGGGTGTTTCGATCATCGTCTTAAGAGGATTTTTTTTCTTAAGAGGCCAGATACGTGAAAAGTATTTGAACAGGCCTCGCAACTATCATCACATTTTAAAATTCAATGATAAGGAGCGGCTAGTGCCACTGCACAGAATAACAAAGGGCGAAACGTTCTTATTTTAAAAATTCAAATCCGGCTAGTCCTTTTCAAGATGGGGAAGTTATGGGTCAATAAATAGCAAGCAGTATCAAACAATGGAAATCGATGATAAACGATACTCTATGCCAACTGTTCGATTGAAACCGGACAAATATCAAAGTTTTATTCTGTAGTTATAAGATCAGAAATGTTGCTTTCAGTTATCACGAAGAGTTTCTAACATTAGATAACCTTCAACCTTCTCTATACTAAAAGAGAAGATTCTTCTTTCGGCGGGCTTAAATTTATTACATTCTGTACCCAGTAAGGACACTCAAAGGATGTTGGATTTTATTAGTCATATAAAACTTCTTTAACATTGGCCAAGGACACTGCTCACAAAGTAACAATTACAACCAAGTTCTGTCAAAAAAGATTAGATCTCCCTTCGTTCGTGTTGCTATACACTTCCTTTAAGTTAGGCGAGAAAAGACACTTTAGGGGTAGGGCTAGACCTTTTTCAATTCTCATCACTCTTACATTGAATTATGCATTGATCTTGTAAGGAGAAGTCATCATTCAATAAAGGGTCGAAACCAAAACCCGCTAAAAGGATGACTTTCATACTCCATGCAATTCACAATTTAGCTAGTTTGATAAAAGGAGCTTCGGCTCAGAAGACAATTCGAATCAATCAGAAATATGTTCGACAAATGTTGTTGACTCGATTAAACAACTAAATTTGGTATTATCAACTGAGTTGGCTGCCGTAGAGAGTTTCTAAAGCTGATGTTTCGAGCGCCCGCACTTCTTCAAACTTGCCACAAAGTTGACCTAAAATTTGCTTTGATCTTTACTGGATATTGTCGTGATATTGCGTTACACGGTCACGCCACTGGGCCGATGAACATCTATAAATTTAGAAGACTTGGGAGACAACGAACACACACGTGGCGGCAGTCGAGTTCGCACAATAAACAACCCTTTTGAGTTCACAGAATCGTGACAGATATATACTAATCTGCTCAGATAAGACAAAATTAACTAAATAGACCGTGCACTTGAGTTTCAAGCATATGATTAGCTAAGAAATATTCACTGGGAAAAGAACTGAACCTCTCTCTTTTTTCCTAGATTCTCTGGTATGTGTTTTTGACTGCACTGATGTTGGCCACTCAAAATGCAATGAGCCGAAAAAATAGTAAGTTTATGCGGAAATTCACGCGTTTACTCCTTGAATTCAGAATTAACTGACCATCAGTCAATGAAGTCGTTTTCTATTGTGCCATTCTATTTTGGGGATCTCCATACAATTTTACTGAGAGGGAGAAAGTTGAATAAAAGGAAGTTCCACCACCAAACTAATATCAAACTAATGGCGAACAGAAGGAGCAAAGAAGCCTACGAACAAAATTGCAATCAGTCCTTTTAAAAAGGAAATGCTAGGCAGGCGCAGGGCGCGTGTCTTTTTTACATCAGCTGACATCAAACGAGAGGCTTTAATTTGGTATTTCGTGAGAATTCACCCCTATAAACAGAAGCGAGTTCTAATTTCGGTTCATTCAAAATAATTGAAGAAGATGAATTGAATAAACTTGAAATCTCAACGAAGAGATTGAATATTAAGGGTAGTGACACCTATTATTAATTTACAAAAAATCAATACGGAAAAATTCTCACCGGAACATTAAATTCCAGTCCAGTAAATTTAACTGCATTCCTAAAAGATATTACCTTACTGGGAGCACGTTACGTGTTTCTTCTTATCTTAGAATGTAACAAGAAATGCCTCGACATTCTCCGTGAAACTCGAAGAAATCCACCACCCAATACCAGAGTGGAAATACACATCGGTTATTGTAAGGCAAGATATGTTTGCCGAAAAGGAACTGACATAAGAACTTGCAGGAATGGGCAGTGGATTGGAAGCAAAGCACTCAAGTGTCCAGGTGAAGTTTCTCTGGTTGACTCGCTTTGGTTTGGATAAATTACAACCATTTGATCGAACAGAATGAATTATTACAAATCAAAATCCGTAAGCCACGTCGCCATTCGATGTTCATAGGTTGAATAATAAACTGGATTTTGTTTTACCGATACAAAAATATCCATTCCTAAGCTAGATCGAAAGCATTCCACTATAATCCATGATTATTACTAGTTTATGATTGAAAACGTAAGAAACTGTTCTCATATTTTATTTCATAATATTTTCTAACATTCTTTTTATCAGCATATTGCGGCAAACCCGCGAACATTCCACACGCCGCATTCTCTGGTTCCCGTTTCAACTTCAACAGTATATTAAAGTACAGATGTGATCAAGGCTATGTGCTCAAAGGACCAAAAAGAAGGAAATGCAGAAAAAACGGACAGTGGTCTCAGGCTCCTACATGTTCACCAAGTAATTTGAATATGACAATCTTTACACACCTGTAAAGGCAACAATAATTGTCAGTTGAGTGTCCAAAGTAATCAGGGATTATTTTGATTTTGCGTAATATTTTTAGGTATAATGATAAGTCAGTCTTTCAGTCAGTCAGTATGTGAATCACTCAGCCTTTCTTCTTACATCTCTCTTGAGTTAGTCATTCAGTCTGTGAGTCAGTCTGTTAGCATTTGAGTTAGTCAGTCATTCGGTGAGTTGGTCAGTCAGTTATGCATATATGAGTCAGTCTGTCTGTCAGTCAGCTTGTGAGTCAGTCAGTCGGTCAGTCGGTCAGTCGGTCAGTCAGTCTTAGGAGTCTTTTGTTTCTTGTTTCTTTCAGAAACTCATTATTCCGTTCGTTCAGCCACTAGAATAGTGGAGTGTTAATTGGCAGGTGGATCGACTGGCCTATTCCACAAAGTATCACCTTAAAATACAGAAAAGACACGAAAAGAACAGAACAAATGAAAGCGCATTGCAATAAACCGGTCTTCTTTGAAGTGATCATTAATTTTTTTTATGTTTTTTGTTCACAGATTATACACCCTGTGGTGTAAGTCCTGTTGACCTGAGGGCGAGAGTGGTCGGTGGTAAGAGTTCGAAAAGAGGCTGGTGGCCCTGGCAGATTAGACTGCGCAGGGTCAACTCAAAAGGTAGTTTGAATGGAAAATTTTCATTGTCTGGCTCATTCATTGAATGCTGTATATATCAGGAAAGCATGACTAACATTTTTGTTCCGACATTCGGCAAATCCTTTTAAGTAGCATATGACTGTCTGTGGCCTTTCACAACAGCAGAAAAAAATTTATCTTTCAAATCTCACTCTTAATTCTACACGCTATCAACGAACGATTGTCATTCAACTGATTTTTTTGTTTGTTTATTTTTTCACGTTATTATGCTCCTAAAAAGACAGAGTAGCTCCATTTTTCCGTATATGTTCCTCTGTTGCCTCTGACGAGGGGCCAAGCACGAAACGTTACTTAAAATGCACTGGTCAAAAGATGATTTTTTTTCCGCCATAATTTTTGAGTAGTTTTTTTTTTATTAAGAAATTATTGCTAGAAAATAATACTTACTGTTTTTCAATTTGTTTCCTATCTCTTTTTTAAGCGGAACTTGTGCTTATCTGTGGTGGTGCTCTTATTTCTCGTCGCTGGGTTCTGACGGCTGCACATTGTGTTTACCACAGAGATTTTCGAGGGGCTCGTGTTCTCGACAATATATCCAATAAGTAAGCACTGAGTCCAATAATCCTTTATACGTTTGAAGTTTAAAGAAACATTTTATATCTATAGATATCATTTTTTCATTGTTGTATTTGAAAGCACATTTAAAGGCAGAGAAAATTCTGCAGAAGAAAAAAAGTATTCGAGTTTCTGATATCATTCACAAGGATTAACTCTTGAAAAACTCCCAAAACCAGTCTTTCCTTAGTAGGCGAAGCAAATTATTTTCTCTACGACTATTACTCTTTATCTCGCAGGTACCGCGTGACAGTGGGTGACCACCACTTGAGGAAGGATGAAAAATCTCAGATTGACGTGGAAGTGATGAAGATATTTGTTCATGAAGATTATGATCATGGGAAAATCACAAATGACATTGCTCTAGTCAAACTCGACAAGGAGGTGGAACTTGGCCCCTATGTACGGACATTGTGTATTCCGGACAAGGATCAAGGGGATTTGGCAATCGTTAAAAAGTACGGCATAGCAACAGGATGGGGTGTAACGCAAGCCTTGAAACTCTTACAATACCCCAAAGAACACAAACGCTACTCAGACCGTCTTCAATACTCAGCCTTCACAATTCAAAGCGACCAGCTGTGCGCTAACAAATCAGCGGGATACTTTTTTAACTCCACAGTGACGTTTTGTGCCGGGGATGGAAAGGGAGGAAATGATACTTGCAGAGGTGACGGTGGAGGAGCTTTTGTCCGTGAGGCAAAAAGAGGAGACGACTTCCGTTGGGTGGCTACTGGGCTGGTCAGCTGGAGTTTGGGCTGCGCACAAAAGGATCATTATGGATACTATACCAGGGTGTTCTCATTTATTGATTGGATAAAGAAAACTATGGAAGACAACTCATAAGAAAATGACTGAGCCTGTTCAATACAGTTTTACTGATCAATAATATAAAGAGTGTCTGTTCTTGGTCATCAGGAACATAACAACAGGCATTTAATTTTTGCTGTTTATGCTGCTTTCTTTAAAAGTTGCCTTCTGCAACCAGGAGTGATGGTGCCAGTCAAAAGTTTTTTCTTGTAAGCTGAGTGAGGCTTAAAACCGATTAGCTGATGGGAAAAACTACTGCGAAAATCGTTGTTTTACAATTTCTCACCGTTACTTTGATGTCTGATTAAGGTTTTTGCCTAGAAAGTCTGTGCTTTTGTAGATTAATGCGCAGATTGATGGTTTGGCTTTTTCTTTCTTTTTTTTTTTTCGTTTTGTAGTCAAATAAAATCGCCGATGAACTTAAGAGGGTTTCTTTCATCCTCTCCTAAAGTAGAAGTAATCATGACAGAAGCAAGTAGACAACATCTTTAAAGGAGGAACTTTAAGTCATATTTCCTTTGGGGTCATCACTGCCTGAGTTGCCTCTTCTTAACCTCTGATTAAAGCGACCATTCACCTAACGGAACATTAGCACATCGGCTTAACTCCTTTGCCAGAAATTTTCGACAGGCGATTAGGTAATTTCGTATGGAAACTTTTCGTCGGTTTCGTCAGCAAGAGAGTTTGTTTCAAGATTGGCGATTACAAAGGATCTTTCCGCGCGCTTTTTATGAAGCATGAGAGTAACATGCTGCTGGTAAGTTTCGCGTACTCTCGGTAGTGCATTTCAAGTACCGGCATTATCATTCTAGCAAGTTAACATTCTTCAGCCGTTCCCTATGTTAATAACATGCTGTTTTGCAGTCTGACTATGGGTATCAGATACCGCGGGAATTTCGATTTTTCTATTTCTGTCTACGTGGTTTTAATGAAGTTTTGTGTAAATATCTCCTAATGACCTAAGCGTGTTACGATAAGGGCTGGGGGTTACGATTAGTAACTTAGCTTGGTTTCAAACAAGAAGAACGTGTCTTTATTCAGAAGGTGATCCTGAAACCACTGGTTGCTGAGATGTTAGCAAATCGTTTCCCCTTTCGCACATCACTGTCCCTTTTCCTCCAAGTTATACTTTGCTGCGTTCGCATGGAACCCTATAGAAGAAACTATCTAGTTTGCTTCCATCAATGAGGTTATTCAGGGCCGCGCTTATGTGAGCCGGGCGTTTTTTTTTTTTTTTTCGCCAGGTGCTGTGCACACGATGTTGCCGTGAAAAGCAACTTTCTGAAGTCAGTCTCTCTCAAAAAGTATAATTTGCTTCAGTTTTCTTCCACAATGTGTTTGGAACCATTCAACATATGAAAAGTCCTTCCGAAATCGGGAACTTTTCTCGTTTAGATCAGTATTTTTTTCGCTTTACGAAATGCTGTTAGTCATTAGTCATTTTGGGAGCCGTTTAGTATTAGTGTGTAGAGGAGCCCCTAAGTGACTTAGAGTGAGGAAAACTCTCAGACCAGTGAACAAACATATTCACTCAAATTCACTAACAACTGGCAGAAACAAAAGCGAGATATCCAAGCGAACGAACAAACGATCAGATAGTTACCTCGATTCTAGCATTCATTCGAAAGTGCCAATTACTCTACAAGTTTGGTTTCGGTGCACCACTCTTTTAACCCTTTAGAGTAATTATATCCAATTTCTCCTTGCAATATCACCCCTGAATCAAACATTAAGGTCACGAGAATAAAGGAATTGATCACTAATTTAGGAAGCTCTTGATTGTCAAACAAATTCTCCCTATCAAAACCTTAGAGAATGTGAAGAAAGCAGTATAGAGAATATGCATACTGATGTTAGGGTGTAAAGGGTTAGTCCAACCTTAACACACCATTTGCGACCACAAATAGATACAAAAAAGAAATCTTGATGCTTCAGAAACACGTCTTAAATGATTTTTATTACGCACGTAAAATATAGTAGATACATCGACTTGTTCTGATGGCTAAAAAACGTGTTCGGTTTAAATTTGATTACAATTTTGTTAGAAGAAATTTCTAACACTCTTATAGAGTTGAAACTTTCTTTATTGCTTCTCCTGATAGCTCAAACAACTTGTTAGCTCGGGATGTAACGCATCATCTACAGGAAAGGGTCGGTTTCCAGTTTATAAAGGTGGCAATTAGCAAGCTTTCAACATTTAACCAACGTCACTATTTCTCATTTTACTAGCGAATCACGTTGTTACGTATAACAGTTCCCGCATACTAAGTATGTACCTATGGTTTGTTTACTCTTACCAAAATGACATTCTACCTAGAAATGTCATACTTTTGCGGTTAAGATCGGCCAAAACAGAAACAAGATTGATAATATGAAAATTATAAAGATAACTAAAGAGAAAATAACCCTCGAAGTTTGTTACAATAACAACAGAATAAACAAAGAATTCGAGGAAGAAAGGGCGCACCCTAAGTACCGCCCCCCTAGGAGAACTGTTTGCCGTTCATATAAGTCAACTGATTATAAATTCCGTGCGGAAGATGAAAAGTATAAATTGTACACATCTTAATCTCCATATTGAAAGAGGTATTCTACGTCCTAAATCAATAATTAAGACTTACTTTCTTGATCGAGAATTTGACATGAAATTGGCCTAAAAAACGAGCCTGAAAGAACCAAATGTATAAGAAGGAATTCCGGTTCGAGATTAACTTTTTCCAGATCAAATTACTCTCTTATTCGTCAAGCAGTTTATTTTAATTAAAGTATTTCTTACCACAAGTTAATTGAAATACTTTCGCCGAGTTTTTAATCACCGTAGAATTGTTCATCTGCTTTCCTGTCGAACTCGCGATTGGCTAATATGCCACAATCACCAACAGCTTAGTACAAACTTTTGTGTATTTTCAAGTGGACTAGTTTCTCATAGAAGGAAAAGATAACAATCACTCTACTTACAAAGTAAGACCGTCATTGAAATAGGAAATTATCAACTGCTTACAATATATATTTTTTAACTGAATGGTTTATGCAATTTGTTATTTCCATTCATATTCCCAACACCAAAGTAATGAAGCTCTTATCGGCTCCTAAATAAGATGTGCAGTATTGAAGATCTTATAATGCTTCTAAATAAGATGTGCTTTGATTTTATCTTTTAACAATTTGTCGTCCTGTGTTAATTGACTGGTAGTCCCAGTGATGATCTTTGTATCGATGGATCGAACAACTCTGATAATATGAATAAACATAAAATTTAAAAAAAATTGAGAATGGAGGTTGGACATGTCCTTTCGCTATGATTACGATAATTGCACTGGTTGTAAATTTAAAAATGAACCACCCCCATTACCTTAGCATGTCCCAAGTTTATCTCCTTTCTGAGTCTACTAGACTTAACGATATGTAATTTGACATGGTTTGATGTTACTATGGTTTACAGATTTAATTAATGTAACCGAAGAAGTTACAATTCGTAGACCCAACGTTTCGACACTCCTGTCCAGTGCCTTCATCAGGGGTGATCTAAACGCTGCAACAAGAGGTCTTTTATATGATCACTAATTAGCTGGGAACCAGTCTCCGGTTCCCTTTCATCAGAAGTGCTGCTAGTTGTAACTGGTTTATCTAGAGAGTTTTGGTTGAGTCATGATTAAATTTACCTTCCTCCTCTCTATACACAACTAAGAAACGACAAATGTGAGGGTATCGGCTGAACTGTGAGCTAGAACAAAAATGTCAGTTAGCGCCATATTAGCACGTGTGTGTTCATGCCAACAGGAAACTATTTACATCCTCTGTCATTGCCACTTACGGCTTAGTTCCACCGAATGTAAATACAGTTATCTACTTGTAAGGCACGCTCAGTAATATCAGTAAGATTGCCCCTCATGGGCAATTAATTGGCAATCATATTTCGGATCAATATCAGCATCTGGGCAACTGCCCACCTACCCCTCCCCTAACTCAACAACAGTCAATTGACAACAAGTTATTTATTTCTATAGTCCCCCCATTATATTATATTGGTGACGACTGATCTCTCCTCCGTCCCCCCCTGAAAACCATGTGTTCCCCCAAAACAATCCTTCACCCCCAGGTGATAACAAATAACTGGTCGTATGTTAGGTCATAATGTGATTTTCACACAGTTCTTTTCTAAAGACTCGCACGTTCTCTAACTTGCTCTGCCATTCTTCACCGTCGGTTTCAATAGTACACTGAATTGAACTACATACTCGTTTTATTTTTCCCTCTTTTAAGTTCCCTCTCTGATCTTCTCCAACTACCGCAGTTCCTTCGGGCATTTCGTCCAAGTTTGGCTTCTCATCAAGAAGTACTTTATCTTTACTTTTATATAAATACTTGTCTCCATAAAGAACTTCCCACAACGAATGGCGTGCGATAGAAACAAAACGCCCTTTCAAATAACTCTTTCCTTCCCTGAAGAGGACTGCGGAGCCTGACATGATGCAACCTGAGAGTGAATGAAGATGTAGTACATGATTCGAGATAACGACTGATGCAATTACTTTCTGTATGCAATGAGGGATACTGGAACTGAGCCAGTAGTTTCTAGTACCCTGAGAGTTTCCTTGTCAGAGGATATCAGACATCACACGACAATCGATGCTGTTCCATTTCGAAGAAAGGGCGCATGGTTTCTATATCAATTCAAATACGCTCTATTTTAAAAGAGTACCGATGCTGATCTAGATAGGGAGAAGAGTATCAAGCTATCTAAGATATAAATTCTTACCTCGAAATACTGCAGGCTTACAACCAAACACTCTTGGATATCTTGGCAGAGGAATGTCATTACTAGGTCGAAAAAAAAACAAGACTTGCAAAAACTGAGTGATGAGTGGTTGAGAAAGTTTCAATTTTTCCTCTTCCTCACCGACACGTGGCTGAAAAAAAAATCAAATTTTATTTGTGTAAGAAAATTGTGATTATGCTTTTTCAAAATCAATTTTTCATATGTCACTGAATGAATCTTTATTCCTATTCTCAAAACTAATGCGACATTGTGTTTA